AAAGTTGTCATGCATCCCGGAGGCATAAGATGTACAAGGTATGCGACTCGATTTTGGTGACAAGATGAAAAGAGATATAGCTGACTTGTTTCTAAATATTTGGTATGTCAACAGGTCAAGACAGAGCATCAACGCCCAGGTGGACTACTTCAGCCATTACCAATCCCGGAATGGAAGTGGGAACATATCACCATGGACTTCGTGACAGAATTACCTAAGGCACACTCAGGACATGATGTCATCTGAGTAATTGTTGACTAGCTTACCAAGTCTTCCCACTTCTTGACCATTAAGATGACCGATTCCTTAAACAAGTTGGCAAGAATGTATATTTGGGAAGTAGTCAGATTACATGGAGTGCTAGTGACAGTAGTGTCTGACATGGACCCTAGGTTCACTTCTCGATTTTGGTCTAACCTTTAGCAAGCCATAGGAAAAAAACTATCTTTTAATATTGCATTCCATCCTCAGACCGATCAGCAATTAGAAAAGACAATCCGCACATTTGAGGATATATTTCGAGTTTGTGTTCTTGACTTCGGAGGACATTAGGATGACCATCTACCCCTGATAGAGTTCGCCTACAACAACAGCTACCAAGCAAGTATTGGCATGGATTCGTATGAGGCGTTATATGGGTGTCCATGCAGATCACCGATTTATTGGGAGGAAGTGGATGATAAAAAACTATTCAGCCCAGATCTGGTAGATGAGACTATATCCAAAATAGTTAAGATCAGGAAGAACATTCAGACGACTCAGAGCAAGCAAAAAAGTTATGCGGACATCTAGAGGAGAGATTTGGAATTTGAGAAAGACGATTGGCTGTGCTTTAAGGTCACTCCTTTCAAGGGAATCAGTAGGTTTGACAAAAAGAAGAAATTAAATCCCTGATTTATTGGACCATTCAAAATCTTAGACAAAATTGGTGATGTCACCTATAGACTAGCACTTCTTCCAGAACTTTTCAATGTCTATAATATGTTTTATGTGTCCATGCTACGCAAGTACAATCCGAACTCCTATCACGTCTTGGCCCACGAGCCTCTTTCACTTCAGGAGATTTGTTCTACAAGGAAGTATCGGTCGACATTGTGGGCTGAAAGAGCATATTACTCCCAAATTGGGAAATTTCTTTTGTTAAGGTCTTATGACAGAATCACAAATTGAAAGATGCCACATGGGAGCTAGAATCAAATTTTAGAGCCAAATACCCCTAACTGTTTGATTGAGAGTGAGAGAGACAAATTTGAGGGGCTAAATTTCCTTTAAAGGGGGGAGAGTTATAATGCCCAAGTTTAAATTTAATGTAAATTAAATTTATTTAAATGCAATTTTTTAATTTTTTTAATTTTATTTTGGAGTAAAAATTAAATAATTTTGATTGAGGATGAAATTGGAAATAATTTTAGGGAAAAGAGGTGAAAATTTCGGTTCTGATGATATTTTTAAAAGAAAAATTAAAAACCAGAGGTTAAAATGCAATTTAGAGAAATTTTGCCACGCCAAATGCCCAGTCAGCAGGTACGATGAATCAGACGTGTTGTGTGGCAGCGGACGCTGACGCAATGCCATGCAAGAGGCCACGCGGGCGATCCACGTGTCTGCGATCGAATGACCCAGATCTGTTCCCGCGCGCACGGATGATCCATATGGGTTCCCTCCCCAAACACAATCGGACGGTTAGATTGAACGTGATCAGATGGTCATTATTAGATCGTGATAGACGGTCCATATTGTATCATAATGAACGGTTCAGATTCACTCTCTATTTAATCGCGATTGGACAGTCCAGATTAAACGCGATGGACGGCCCATATCAAAAGTGTACGAATATAAATAACTCCCATCCATACCAAACCCTAACCCTAGCTGCCAGACCCCCTCGCCAGAGAAAAAGACCCAGCCGCTGGGAAGGAGACCGCCGCCGCACCGAAGCCCTTTCCGACCGTCAAAAAAGGTAAAAATTTCTCTTTTTGCTTAGAATTCAATTTTAAACACATCCATGGCCAAATAAGAAAAAAAGAACCGGCTGATTGGCCAAAAAATGTGGGCAAAGCCCAGCGGCTGCCGCCGCGGGAAATTTCACAAAAAGTCTCCGATGAGGTCCTTCCCGATTCCCATTTTGCGTAATTTTTTCACCGTTGTGATCATCGTTTCCTTTTCTACAGGTTGACCGGAATAAAACACCCAACCGTAACATGAGTCGGAGGAGCCGCCGCACCGGAGAGCCCCGCCACTGGTGAGTTTCGATTTTTTTATATTTTTTCGGCCAACCGATGCCCCTTAACATGTTTTCTTACAGGGATTGATGCGAAATCGACCGAATCTAGCCGAAAACAACCGACTCGAGGCGAATCGCTGCCGTACCAGAATTCTGAAATTGACCAAAGTGGGCCCTGAGACTAATTTTGGGGTTATTTGGGACATTTGTAGGTACTTATAGCGTGTTTTGATTTTCGAAGGAAAATTCAGGGAACCTAGGAACCGCCTGTAGGCGCAGTGAACAGCTTAGCTTTTCGGGCACCAAATTGAGTAAGAATCTCTCACCCTATTCTCTGTTATAGAATTAAAGTCTAATTAACAATAAATAAGGTATTCTGTACAATTTAGAAAATGTTCATAATTAAATTACGGATTATTAATAGAGCCAAAATCGAAAACTATTCTCTGTTGATTCATGTTGATTGTTTTTACAGTTTAAATGCATGATAGTGCCTTATTGATTTATTATATAGCTTTGAATGCATGCATTGTTGTTTTACGTGTTTATGGTTGAATTGGAAAAATAGAGGTTAAAGGTAAACGGAAAACTTGTGTGATTAAGTGACTTGATGAAACGACAATCTTACTAGACATCTTGGGAGATGGTGGACAGACCATGTACATAGAAAACCCTACCGTGAACGTGTCTCATACCAGACAGGGTATGGAAACTTGGTAACTTGGTGCTCATACCGGACGGGGTATGAGGACAGCCCACTTCACCCTCATACCGTTCATTTCCTTATTTCTTTGTATTTCCTTCAAAATGGTGAATTCTGTAACACTAATTGGTACTTTAAGTTATTGTGTAAGAAATGTAAATATTGAACATTTATTTCGTTTCCGCACTTTTATTATCATTTACTTCTTTTGGATATTTTTGGAGTCGTTACAACAACTACAATTAAGTATCTGGGTCGGCTAGAAGATATTATTTATATTATTAATAAAGAGAGCCATAAAAAAATTGTCAGTATATTTGTGTGTGTGTGTGTGTTTGTGTGTGTATGTATGTATATATGTACTCAAATGGTTACATGTGCCATTAAGCTATCGATCAACTTAGTTTCTTAATAATTAAGTGGCATAAAGGTAGTTTTTTTTTAATTTTTTAAGATTGATTTTCTTTTTTCTTTTTAATTATCAAATAAAATAATACTTACCACGTAAGATTTTAGTCTGATCTAATAAAACTAATTAGAAAAATATTATTTTAAAATAATATATACAAATTTGTTTAAGAACTAAATATATTTGGAATTAAAAAAAAAAAAAGAAAGAAAAACATTTAACTGGGGACAAAGTGAGAACAATTTGGGAAATTAGGGAAAAATTTTAAATTTAGAAAGGGTTTTTCAATTAGGGGTAAAAACTGTATCCAAAAAGTGTTAAAATGGGCCCAAATAAGAGAAGAACAGTGTGAATAAATAATTAATTAAATTAAGAAATTGTTAGTAAGTAATTAATTAAAATAAAATACAAAATTGGTAAACGGGCTGGGCTACCTACGAGCTTTGGGTTACTATCCGGAGACCCCAAAGAGAAGGAAACGTTTCATAAGTTAATGAATTAAACTAAAACTATTTTGTTGAGCCCAATTGTAATTACACCGGAAACATCGGGTACAGTGAGAGACAAATAATAAGATATAAAAAAGAAATATTTAAAGAACTTATATAAACGTACATATTTATAAATAAATAAATAAAATAATAAAAATATTTTAACCAAGAGTTTGAATTTTGTAGTGTGCGCCGTTGGTTATAGTTTAAAATGATATTTTTTTTTATAAATAAAAAAAAGGGTATGTTAGATAAATGGTACATAATTGGCATTTGTATTGTATCTATAGTTTATACATATATCTATATGAACCCAATTCCTAACTAACAAATTCTAGAAGATTTCTTTACAAAATTTATGATCATTGACTAGAGTTACATAACCAAAAACAATAAATTCTTTATTTAAGAGAAAAATTAGAGAGAGTTGTTGGCCTTCACATACTATATGTACATAAAATGGCACCCATCATAGCCTGTGTACAATAATAAGAAAATGTTATTATCATATATTCTGAAGTAGCTTATGAATTATTATAATTATTTATAATAAAAAATCATTTTACTTTTTAAACAAATTATGTGAAAGGTATGCCATCTATCAATTGTATGTACACATATAAATGTATTAAATATTTATTATGTTACACTTTATGAATATAATATCAAAGTATGTAACCAAAAAACAAAAAAAAAGGTATTTTATTTTGTAACAAAACTGTATTCTTATTTGTTAAAATTATATCTGTTTTTTTTTTTTTTTTTTTTTTTTTTTTTAATTTTCATTTCCTAAATATATATGAGGTTTTTATTTTTTTTTAAATAATATATTTTTATATAAATATTATTACTTTTAAACATTCATGAATTATTTTATAAAATAATTAAAACTTTAATATACAGAGAAAACAAAATATTTTTAAATTTTTTCTAATTTAATCATAATTTTCACCATTGTTTTCTTTACTTTTGACTAAATTTATAAAATAAAAAATATAGTTCGATGAGTTACTTGGATCCACGGTGACGAGCATGGCTGTTCCTCCAAACTCACAGGTTCCACCTGCACCCTTCGTTTTTTGCCAGTAACTATTGAAAGCAAATGAAGCATGCGCAAACAACGTGTTTGGCTGGAAACACGGTCCATCCGCCTGAATCGAATCGCAATCAGCTCCCGATCCGCAAGCATAGTTCATTGCCTCTTGAACGATTGGATCTGGCACTGACGGCTTCGCCACACACCACAGCGCTAAGCTCGGAGCCACATTAGGAGGCGGCGGCGCTGTCGGCGGCGGATACACGATCGGCGGCAGAAACACGGTCGGAGATGGCACGGCGGATGGTGGTTTGGGCGTATAAGTTGCAGGGGACGGCGGATTAGGGACGAAATAAAACGGCGCTGGCGGCGGATTAGGGATTGGAGTCGGAGTGGTTGATGATGGTGGTGGAAAAACACAGTAAGGCGGCAATGGAATTGGAGAAAGTGAGTCGTACGGAGGAAGATTAAATGGAGAACTCACACCATACGGTTGGGTGTTGGATGAGTCCAGAGACTGAACCAGGTTTAAATTTTCCATTACTTGTTCTAGAAATGTGTGCTTGAATGCTCTCAATTTCTTTGCTGAATCTCCTCTGATCAATGCCATTGATTGTCGTCCCTCTGCCAAAACCGCAATACAACATATTAATTCATATTAAGAACCAGATTATTAAGTAAGTTTAGCTTCCATTTGAGGTAGCCTTTTGCTTTGAAATAAAAACCATACTTAATGGACATTTGGGCGGGGAATAGTTTGTCTGGTAAATCTGTGAACTGCTGTTAAAAAATATGTTTAATGTAAAGTAATTTGATAAAATTTAGATTTTAAAATTTTAAATATTAAAAAATTAGTACCATTTTTTAAGAGTTACGTATTGTATTCCACAGTTTCTCAACAGTCGACTAAAATATTTTTATTCCATGTTTAATAAATTAAAAATATTTTTTATTTGATGCCAGAAATATTTTTAGAACAGCACAAACAAAGCTAAATAAATTAATAGACCTTATTTGGTGATATAAAACAAATGATAATTAGATTCTTAAAAATAACTTGAAATTTGAAAGAACATGTACTAAATCTTAACAAAAGAATCATCTTGCTTTTGCAGCTTTAATTCCTGAGTCTGACATTCAATTACACTTTTAACTTCACACTTGTTCGATACTGATTACTTTCCCTGCTTCAAAGAATGCGAAGCTGGTGTGTGTGTGTGTGTGTCTGTATCTATATACACTAAACATATATGTGTATCTATAAGCAGATACAAAGTATATATTCAAAAGAAACGAGGAGCATTATTAGACAAAATATCTCGGAAGAAGCAAAATTTCTACGAGTTCCCAAAACAATAGCTTCGTACTAGTGAAAAAAAAGAAGACTCAAGCTTCTGTTAACAAAAACAAGTGTCAGGTAAAAATGGAAGAAAACAAGTTAGAAATATATATATATGTAAACATCTGGAAGTACATACACACACATATTATAGCGGCAGTTTAAATATTGATAGACTAATTTGCTGCATGCAATAACTGAAAAATACTGTATTCAAGTTGATATAAAAGTTAAACTCGATAAAATAATAGTTGCCTACAAAGTGGACTGTGAATGATTAATTAGGAAATGATTAGGAAGAAGCTTACCGCAATGAATGAAAAAGGTGGAAGTGACTAACAGATAGAGAATTAGCCGAATGCAAGCTCTTATGCAATGACCTGGGCTTGCTTCCATGACTCACACTGTCACAACTTGAAGATCCCACAACAAACAAGTAGGAGTTAATAATATATATGGATATATAAATTAGCCAAGTAGCGTAGGGTGAAATAAAGATTGATTCTTGCGGCAGTCTGTACAGTTGCTTTACTTACCTGAGTATGATATATATTGTGTGTGTGTGTGTGTATATATAAATTATGTTATGGCATATATGCTTGCTTGACATTGGGAAAAATCAAAATAGGTTTTTTTTTTTTTTTTAATATTTGTTATCTTTTTGTTTTGCTTGCTTTCTACTCAAAGCTCTCTTTCAATCCAACCCATGTTGGAAACAGCAGCATCCTTGGTTACTTTCATTGACTAGTCTGTGTTGGAAGACTTGCCAGCCTCAACTAAATGCACTTTTTAAATCATCTACTTACAATATATTTATGTCTTAATTATGGATTATGTCACGAAAAAGAAGAAAGTGGTTTCTGAATGGGATTATCAAAGCATATTGTAGGGAGTTTAGTAAGAGAGAGAATTTATAGTTAAACTCCTGTATTGGGTTCAGAATGAATTTCTATTTGTGCCTTGCAGAATTTATTTTATATACGAAATAATGTATCTATAGGAAAGAATTCTAATGTATCCGAGATTATTTATTTAGTGCCCCATTTGTAATTGTGTCCAATCAGTTCTTTTGTTTTCTTTTTTAATATTTTTTTGGTTCAAATATATTATATTTTTATATAATTACAAGCTATGTCTTTATAAATTTTACCGTAGAGTAGAACATAATACTATTATTCTTTTTTACAGTAGAGTTGTAACGTTTTGGAAATTCCAAGTATATGATTTAAGTAAATACCAACATGTGTTAAACCAAACTCAGTCGTGTATTCCGTATGTAAGTAAAATAAACTTAATTTAAACAAGGAGGATTAACAAAAAAAAAATCATTCCATTATTAAACTCTTCTGCATCACCTTATTTTTCCTCACAAATACACCACATAGACACTCTTTAAACAACTAACAGATGCATGTAAATGCAAATAAAATAGTAAACATCCTCCTAAGGACTCATCCATTTCACCGCTGTCTATGGTGATAGTCGTACCATATTTGACCCAAATCAGTGGGCCACACCAGAGCATATTTATAGATGCATGGTAAACAACTAGCAATGCATGGTAAGGGAAAATAAAATAGTAAACGTCCTTTCAGGGACTCATCCATTTCACCGTTGTCTATGGTGACAGTCATACCATATTTGACCCAATTCAGTGGGCCACACCAAAGCATATTTACAAATGCATGGTAAACAACTAACAATGCATGGTAAGGGAAAATAAAACAGTAAACATCTTCCCAGGGACTCATCCATTTCATCATTGTCTATGGTGACAATCATACCACATTCGACCTAATTCAGTGGGCCACATCAGAGCACGTTTATGGCAATCGGTTAGTAAATGATATTAAGAAAATATAAAAAAATGTATGCACACAAGCATTATGCAATGTCCGACCACCCAATGGCCACGCACACACACTGTCACAAGAGTAGGTTTAAGGTATACTCGGCACTTTATGCCACTCAGTAAGACCCATCTCTTAGTGCTTCCCACCACAACATTTTTAGGTCCTTTAGTTTAAACACAATAGCTCATGTCCCGCATGTATATTTTTCTCATATGGCCCCCTTTTTCCTTTTTATATTGATCTATCCTTAAGAACCTCACTACCTATCTCAGTTGGCCTTCCCATGTTATTCCCCAAAGTTTTTCTCTATTAA